AGACATGACGAGTCGATCACAGAACAGCCTCCACACATGAGCCGGTGTCCTTAATTAAAGGTTTTTAAACTCACCGTCGCTCTAGACATGACGAGTCGATCACGGCACAACGGTAAGCGAAAATAACTCATTACCAACTAGAACTGCACGATCCTCACTCAAGCGGTGTCAACTCGCACTCGTGGGATGGAACAGCCTCCACATGAGCCGGTGTCCTTAAACAGGTTTTTAACTCACCGCCGCTCTGACATGACGAGTCGATCACTAAGATGGACAGCCTCCATCCAACGGCGCTACGTTGATGCTGGCGCACACACACAGCTGCCGGCGCTAACCAGCTCACATCGGTATGAATGTGGTCCGCAGGCTGGTCCGGGTGGGGGTCCTTCTCTCTCAGCTTTCGGCAGCTCACCGCAGCTTAAACGTGAAGCAGCCGAAGAATCCGGTAATGAGTCCCACCTCCCTCTAGCGCGCGCCCCTCCAGCGAGAGCGGCGCGCGTCCCTCCAGAGAACAACATGTGCTCCCGCGGGGCTAAGCAGCCTTCACTCCAACAGCACGGTGTAAATGAAGTCACGCCCTCCGCCTTTCAACGTTCGCACAGCGACGTCAAACGCGCAGCTCACCGCGTCATCAGCTGTCACACGCTTCGCCTTCAGCTCAAGTCTCGCCCGGGGTCACACAGAAAACATTCCCGCGACGCATGACGGCGGTTGAGGGACGGACTGCTGACAGCCGTACAAAACATGACGCATCATTAACGCACGTTCATCCACGAACGTTACGTAGAGTGGCTAAACATGCTCGCCGTTTTTCAGATGGATGGACAGGGTTTATGCAAATGGTACAAGTTACAGTTTGCAACCCGAACCCCTCCATTCAGAGGAGTTATATAAACGGTCCCGTCATCATCAGACTGATTCTCTTCCCTAAATGCAGAAATCCAAGTGTTTTCTGATAAAAGTAATCTACAGAGTTCCCCAAGGGAGAGAAAACACGAGGGTTTTTACTCACGGATCGGAGGGGTGAGACCGTTCTTGGATCTGTTGTTTAACATCCAGAGAACGCATACCGATCATCCTAAAACACAGAGACGAGAGTTTTTTGTTTTTACCTGGATGATCTGCGGATCCTGTCACTTCAGACAGGAGGCGCTGATGCAGGATCAGGTGTTGACATCACACCTGTTAATCTGGGCTTCGCCATAAGTGGAAGGAAGCTCGATTTTCCCGGCCCAGACATTTGTTTTTCTGGAGTGGAATTAAATTCAACCACCATGAAAACTCATTTATCACATGAGACGCCTCTAGAGGTGTTTTTGCACGTCTGCATGTGGATCCAGTAAAACAACGACGGATGATCATTGTCTTTTCCTCTGTGGAAGCAGACCTCCGACTCTGGGGAAACACCTTGTTTTTCTATCAGAGGGAGTCCCCCTCAGCAGACCCACGTCATGGGTCAGTCTTCACGGACACGTTGCTGTCAGGCTGGGGGGGGGGACATACCTATCTCAAGCAGTAGGGGCGCTGTGGCCCCACTACACATCAGCCCACATCAATGTTTTGGAGTGTCGCACAGTACTGAATGTGATTCAACACCTTGCTCCTGTGCTACAGAATCAACACGTGTTGATTCACACAGACATCATGATGACTGCTGCATACATAACCATCAGGGTGTGCGTTCAGCCAGATGTTACACATTGTGCGAAAGCTACTGAGTTGGGTTCATCAAAACCTGCTTTTATTAGAGCGGTTTACATATCCGGTGTTCTGATGTGACGTCCAAGGGCGGCCCACGTTACGTGGACCGGATCCCCCATCCGGATCTGATGTTTTTCAGACGCAGCAGAAGTTGGCAAAGCAGCTGTGGACCTGTTTGCGATGCGAGAAGAACGCTCAATGTCAACTACGGTTTTCCCTGAGCCCGCGAGACGATCCATCGCTGGGGGGGGGACGCATTTGCTCACAGTCGGTGGCCCAAAACGCTTTTTACGCGTTTCTTTCCCCCCCACCTCCTCTGTTTTTTACGGTCCATGAACCGAGTTCAAGAGGAGGGATTGACAGCTCTCCTTGGTGGCTCCCGGCGTGTGAACGCACTATGGTTCCCAGGCCTGCAACGTCTGTTGTTGGGTCGCCGTGGAACTGTCATGGAGGAAGGATGCTCTCCTTCAGGCAGGAGGAGCGACCAAGAGTTACCCAGAAATAGGTCAACACCGGTGGGTCTGACCGCTGAGCGGTTCCACTTAGAGGATGGGTCTCCCTCAGGAGATAGTGTGCACAATTCAAGATTCACGTGCTGCATCTACCACAGTTCTGTACACATCAAGGGGACGGCTTTTCAGCGCTGGTGCACAGAGAAGGTTTAGAGACCACCTCATGCCTTTTAAGCGGCGTGTTGTTTTTCTACAACAGCTGATGGATAGGGAGTTGGCTTTCAGTACGCTTTAACGTACGATTGCAGCCATCTCTTCCTGCCACAAAGGGTTTGGAGACAGAACAGCTTTTATCACCCGCTGATGAAGCGGTTTCTAAAAGGTGTACAGAGATGTAGGCCTGTTTTCACGCCCACTTGTTTTCCACAGTGGGTTTAACGCTGGTCCTGCGAGCCCTGATCAAAGCTTCAATTGAGCCTCTGGATCAGGTTTCATTTAAATTCTTGTCTCTTTTAACAGCCCTGTTGCTGGTTTTAACACCCGCTAAGAGGGTAAGTATTTATCTGCCCTCTCTGTTGCTTCGTCATGCCTTAGAATTAGGCTGACGGGCAGCTCAGCTGATTTAAGACCAACCCAGCTTTTATGCCTAAAACATCACGAGCTCTTTTAAATCAAGAGTGATATCGTTGGAGGGGTCTTTTCCCCCCCACAGATCAGAAGAGGAAGCATCTTTTCATCTTCTCTGCCCGGTGCGGGCGTTGACGTGTTACATAACGCACACAGCTGCAATGCGTTTCAAACTCAACAATGGTTTGTGCATTATAGAGATGTTTCTACAGGTCGCCGTTATCCATCCAGCGCTTGTCACACTGGCTGTGTGAGGCCTTTTCTGAAGCCTACAGAGCATCAGATTTAGAGCCTCCTGTCAACCTCTAAGCACACTCGACCAGGGGTATCGCATCTTCGACTGCTCTGCATAATGGTATGTCAATGCAGGACATCTGCACTGCGGCTGCATGGTCAACACCCTGCTCATTTATTCGCTTTTACCTACGTGATGTAACGGCTCGTTCCATGACACATTCTGTCCTTAGTGCTCTAACAGAATGAATGTTATTGTTCTCATGGAACTCTGTTTAAGCTCACTTCTGTCTGCATGCATT